GGGGGAACTTGCACAATTGGTGGCTGACTAAATACTTTTTTGCCCCACTGTACATTCACGGTCAGAGTGTCTCATCATCTGGCATCTTTCAATTTGCTTTTCATTTGCAGACAGGACAAAGACTCTAAGGACGAAGCAGCAAAAGCAGAGAAAGAGCTTCAGGAAATACGCAAGGTCATCGAGAAGTCTGGAGGAAAGCTGTCCAACAGAGTGCTGCAGTCTGATGTGAGAAAGCAGGGTTAAACACGCTTTCAAGAACACGCTTTCAAAATGTTATATCTGATCTTTTGGATCATAATGTTTCAGATGGCATTGTGGTATTACAGGTCCCATTCTCTTAAGAATGTTCTAAATAACTTTGTGGAATGACTTGCTCATAAATCTTAAGCAGTTTTTACTGATTTAGACAAAATTTCCAACACTAAATACATTATCAAACAGTATGACGCAGTATTTTGCACCATGGTTATCTTATTAATCAAAATAGTAACCATGGAAAGGAGAAGTTAAACTCATGTACAGCGGAAATGTAATTTCTTAAGCATAACTCCCAATTGTTTATACTTAACTGCGGATGCAATTTAACTCGCTTTAGAGTACATAGCCAGCAAGATCTTGTTGAAAGTTGAAAGCAGTAATTGAATGAAATGATCTGAAGGGTAGATGAGAAAGACATGAGAAGAAGCAGGATTAAGAAAAGTCATTGCAGATTAGATAAGGAAAATCTAATATGAGACATATATTAATCCTTTCAGATTTCCATTACATATAAATTGTAAATATTAACTTATGTTTTCTTTTTTTCTTCTCAGTGAGGGAAAAAAGTAAGACAAAGCAAACCAACTAACCCCAGCAGATCCTAGTTTAACCCCATAGGGCCAGATTTACTAATATGTTGCACCAGAAAAAAAAAGTTCTCTCAATATTTACAAATGGACAAAATTGTAAGAGTTGTTAACCTTTTGAACTTTAGCGCTATTTGGCAATTGCACTCACTCGCTATTTTGCCCCATTTAGGAATTCTAGCCCATAAAGTTGAATCAAGATATACTGATGTTTCCTTTTATTAATAAACAGATCATAGTGAAAGAATAGTTTCTGGGTTTTTTTACTTCACATTTTTGTAATTTATTTAGAATTACAGAACAGCTGCTTAAGGTTGAAAAGACTTGAGTTACATGTTCTGGACACTGTGTTTTTAGTTTTGTGATGTGGTATGTAATCATTGCTCACTAGTGTTATTATTTTTACAGGCTGTATGTGCAGTCTGTGACCACAGAGATTTAGAGCATGGATAAAAATGCTTTGCTGCTTTTGTTTTGCCAAAAGAGCTTTGGCACACTATTTTAAAAATTAGGCTTTGTGTTTAAAAAACAGTAACGGCCCCAGTGTAAAATATATCCACACCTTCTTTTTTGTTTTAGACTCTGGAGACGATGTTGTAGATTCAGTGCTGGTTATTTATCTGATGTCCATTGTGTCTTATCTAATTGACTACAATCCAATAATGTAATATTTTCTCATTATTTTTATTCCTCTTTTACTGAGCTGTGGTTTTACAATTTATTTGTTTTGTAGTTGGAGTTTGCAAGGCGGAAGTCAGATGGCTCCACCACTCTGGCTATCCTCAACCCAGCAGATCCCTCAGCAGGAGGTGAGACCATTTTGGAACTATAAAAGAGCTCAATTAGACCAATTATTACAATTTGCCACAGCGGTGGATGTTCATATTGAATATGGCTTTAATGTAAAAAGATCAGCACATATACCATTAATCCCTTTAGGCCAAAAGTGCAGGCTTGAATTTTGAGTCAAAGTGGTTTATGTAGGACAACCAATCAGAAGGAAACAGCTTAAAGAAAGAGGAGCTAAAACAGTCTGTTTTCAGTTGGAGTTATACTTCTGTGTTAAATCTACATCACAGAGACATTATAAGCGCAAAATGTTCTGAAACCCTAGAAATGTAACTACACGACTCCATCACTGCAGCCCACACAGTTATAAATGAAAACACCATCAGCTTCTGTTGTAAGCTCTGGCTGTGGATGAACTGAGAGGCTGCACCACTCTTGAAGTCCAAAAATACAAATATAGAAGCATAATATATCCACTTTACACAACAACATTTTATACACAAAAAAGCGAAATATAAGTTTCCTTTGGCTTCTTTGATTTTAATTTCTGTAAACTATGACTGTGGGAAATTTTAATGGTTGATTAGTATTTACAGACCTATAAAAGAAATGATGATGCAGCAAGAGACTTGAGGGGGGAAAAAAACTGTGTTTGCTGTTGCAGATGTGGGTTATTGTCCTGTGAAACTCGGCATGATGTCCAACCGGCTGCAGAGCGGTGTGAACACCTTGCAGGGTTTCAGGGAGGACAAGAGGAACAGGATCACCCCAGGTACGGCTCTACCTTTATGTTTCTCCATATTGTTGATATCCGAGTCTCAAAGGAAAGACAATAAATTATCTGTGTGCGGCACTTTTCACAGTGTCCTACATGAACTATGGGCCATTCACCTCCTACGCGCCAACCTACGACTCCAGCTTCGCCAACATCAGCAAGGAAGATTCTGACCTTACCTACTCTTT